GTGGGTCAGAAGACAAAAAGTTTGGGAACCACTGGTCTAAACGACTCTATACCCTAACACTGACAAATTTTCAAATTTTATTGAAACTGATTTAAAAAAAAAAACTAATACTCAGACGCCGAATGGCCAAATCAACCAGCATTTGTTGTCAGTGRCACTTTCAAATCCAAGCAAACTTTACAAATATCAACAGATTTACACAAATAGGACAGAATGACACAATTATGAACTGAAAAAATAAAATAGAAAATAAACAGAGGACATTGTTGCAGCTCTTCATAAATTTTACTGTAACAACAAAGTCAACTAATAGAAATTTATTTTCCCCTGTTGACAACGAATCATACATAAGATTGGACGTCTGTCATCCTGGTGGTGCTGGAGATCGCAGAGATGCTGCTGGCTCTGCTTTCACTGGAGGCCTTCGACTTCCTGCTCTCTGTGATTTCGGTGCGAGCTGACACGTAGCTTTTTCGTGATGGGACAAAGGTGTAACCAGGGACCTGGTAGGCTGGGTAGCTCTCTGGGCTGTGAAATTGAGAAGTAACATTTCGATGAGGAGGCAACATTTTAAGATCAAGTAGTTGCTTTTTAAGATCAAGTAGCTGCATTTTACCGTGAACTGCAAGCTTCCCTCCCTGCTAAGATGCTGCAAATCAGGCCTCCGACAACCAATAAAGTAGAACCACCCCATCCGACGAAAACTCCAACGCCTATTTCAGATCTGGTGATACATACAAAAACTTTTTATATATAATAATTATAGCATAAAGCGGGTAAAATAAGTATTGAACACGTCAACATTTTTCTCAGTAAATACAGTACATTACTAGAGGTGCTAATTACATGAAATTTTCACCAGATGTCGGTAACAACCCAAGTGATCCATACAAACAAAGAAATCAAACCATAACTGTCCAGAAATTAAGTTATTTGTAATAATGTGGAATGGCACAGGGAAAAAGTATTGAACACATGAAGAAAGGGAGGTTGATAGGTGTTTTTCCTAATCATATACAAAAACAGGGGAGCAAATGAGACAATCAAACCAGGTTTAGAATCAAAGTGAGGAGAACGTTGGACAGGAAGTCTCTTGTACACCCAAATCCACCGTTCTGAGAGACCCCCTGTAGTTCAACCTCTTTTATTTAGTTTTTCACGCCCCTATTTTGTCATGAGACTGCCTAAGGGAGGGGGGGAAATGCAGACCTCATGACAGAACATTATTTGATACAAGACAATTAATAAAT